CCGTCCAGAAGCCGGCGACTGATCTGCCTCGCCTGGGAAGAGCGCAATGATGGTGCCAACTTGGACCAGTGAAGCAACAGCCTCCACAACTAGACTGAAGAACAAAATGACAGCAACTTGTCTGTTCCCCTTCCCCCAATTCCCCAGCACTGTTCCCATCCCTCAATTCCCCAATAAAAATCTTAAAAAAAAATAGGCAAGATAGATGATAGATGATAGATGATGATGACAGATAGATAGACAGATAGAACAATATTAGCATAAACATGGTTTTTAAGTCTGAGTAACAGACATAGGGGATTATTGTACTATTCTCTTCCACTTTTGTGTGTATTTGGTTCTTTTAAGTGGTAGGATGGTTTGTGCAGTCAGAGATTGTTGGAGTCAAGGTTCCGGAAGAAGTGAGTTAAAAAGAAAGGAGCCAGAGCCCAGAGCATCTCTGATGGAAACTGAGAGGATGGAGAACATGAAGGAACTGCAGGAATTGATAGTAACAGGGTCTAGGGTGTGACCAGGGAGCTAAGTGACTCAGGGAAGGTGAAGGATAAGATCACTGGGAAAGAGGAGACAAAGGAACCCAGAGGTCAGGCCATTGTAATGATTATCTACATGGATAATAAAAGCACTAAGAGTAGTGTCAGAGAGCATGGCAGTGAGCAGTGACAATAAAACCTTCAAAAAACGAGGGACAGTGACACAGTGGAATAGCTCAAAAAACTGGTGGTTTTTAGAGGAGAAACCATTTGAAAGTAAGGAAGACACAGGGCCCCCTCTCACCCCATCACTACCCCCACCAATCTAGAGGTACAAGGAATATGAGAGAAAAAACAGCTTTCACTTAAGAGGGCTCTGGGAGAAGCAGTGTCCTCAGGAGAAGATTAGATATTAAGGGGGAAATTGTTCTGCTAAGAATCTAAATTAGTTGGTTACTGCACCTGAATGTTAAATTGGGCTATCCACCTCCCAGCAGTGAAAGTTTTATAAAAGGAGAAATGATAGATTATGTAGTCCTTCTGATCTGACAAAAGAAAACATATAATTTCTTCAAAGGAGAGCAACATTTCCAAAAATTCCGAGAATCTCTTTCATAGATTCATAATCATTTTTATATTCTCAGCCACTAGAACAAGGCTTGGAATGTAATCAGAGTACGATAAATGTCCGTTTACCCAAATTCATCAGATGCGGAGGTTCATAATGGAGAATGTCTTTAATAGCAGTTTTGAAGATAAAAAGCTTTTCTTAAACCCCTAAAATAGGGCATAGTCATGAGGTTGCTATTGATCTTAGTTTTGAATCTGAGATGGTATTTTCAAAAATGAAGCTAATTCTAAAATTAGCTTTACAGTTCTTTTTCTATAGACATGTATAATATATTATAAGGCACTGAGATAGTTAATGGTTTTTAGTATTCACTTTTATTCTTTCATTTTGAAGAGGAAAACCTGTCATTTAAAAACATGTAAATCTAGTTAAAGCTTTTCCACCATTTCATTATCTGAATGTAGTTGCAAATTCTGACTTAAAAAAACACTTATCAGAGGGAGACTCAACATCCCTCCCTGAACAGCAAATGAACATTCAATTAATACTTCAATACAAGTGCATTTTAAATAAAATTATACTTTATTGTTAATCTCATTCTTTACAAATGCAAATACCCAATACTAAAATCCAGAGAGTTGCCTCTCTTTTATTCTTTAGAGAAACAAGTTTTTTCTTTATTTATAGGGAAGACCTGAATTTTCTGAAGTCGTTACCAAGTTAGAAGAGTGTCTCTGCAACATTGAGGTAAGAACTTTAGCTTCTAAACTATGTTCATCAAAAAAGCTTTGGATATCCTAGGATGTTGGGGAATGCAGGAAAATGGTACTTCTGGAAAGAAAGTGCATGTGAGGGTCCATATCTCCATTCATATTTCTACCCTGTTAATTAAACTCCTAGGTGAAGTGGAATTGACTGTTTCTATGGACACAAAGGCAAATTCACAGTTAATTTGGGCCCTTCCAACAATAATCAGACAGGCAAATGAACATGGGCATACCCAGCTTAAAAAATTTATATGTAAAAATTTGAAAATATAACAAATATGTTAGAAGGTAATTATTTAAATCAATTATTTTCTATTTACAAGTTCCTACGTACAGTGAAACATAAGCTCAAATATTAAACCATTGTTCATTTATGTTCAACAAGAAGAGGAAAAATTATCATGAAAATTTGTGTATAAATGACTTAGGAGGCTTTGCTTTTATACCACACATATGTTGCATAAAGTGATGAATGTTAATTGTTAAGTTAATGGAATTCCCTTCTCTTAATTTCAAGGCACTGTTTGCTTTAATTTTCTCTGTAATTGCCTTAATTTTCTATACACCTGGGCAGGAGATAGCATTTGAAAACAGGCAAGGAAGTTGAAACGTGAGCACTAATTAAAAAATAATACTATATGTCCAAATGCAAATTAGTGCTGGAGGAGAGGCAGTGCACATCACAGGAATAGGCTGACATACATACACGTGCATATGAAAGGAAGAGGTAACAATGGGGGAAACAGCATTAGCCTGAGATTGAACAACTAAATCCCAAAGTGGAAGTATTCAAAGGAAGTTTTCTTTCCAAAAAAAAAAAATCTCAGGTAAGTCACTGGAACCAAGTCTCAATTGGAAAAGGGTCCCAAGTCTGCAATTGCAGCTGCAGTGAGTGGTCCTGTCTCCTGACTCTTTACTGAAACTTCTAAAAGGGAATTATGTAGAAGGAAGATTCAGTCTTTAAATAAAACATTTCCTTTCCCTCTTCTTCAGCCCTGAAACATACAAAGTGGGGAGAAGTAGTAGTATATTTGGTGGGGGGTTCAACAGACCCTACAAAAGCATCTGCCAGAGGCCTTGGATGTTGAAAGAAGGCTTTAGAGCTTGAGTTCCAAAAACCTTCTCACCTTTGAACTTTTGTGTTTGACAGGATAATGTTGATCGAAGCCTGGAGATATAGCCAGTTAGTTCAGAGAGTAGATTCCAAAAACAAGGACAGTGATAGGATGTGCTAAACTGGCTTGTCCTGTTATGGACAATCTCCTCTAGTGGAGAAGATGAATAACAATGGACAGTATGCAAAGAGAAATGCTGGACTGAGTTGCACTAATTAGTGGACCAGAATCAGCTCCAAGGGACTTAATTGTGGAGTTCCATAAGGCTCTTTTTAGTAAGTAGAGTAGACCAAGGTCAAGAGGGCACTGCTCATCACATCTACAGCTATAATAAAGTTGAAAGAGACAGTAAATATTTGAAAGCAGGACTCTAGAATATCTCGGGGGATAAAGTAATAAGAATAAATATAACAGGAATAAATATAATGTCACACACATAAAAAAAATAGTAAAAGTGTCACATGGTGCAGGTATGGTTTAGGAGCCATGAATGTTACTGGGGAATAAACTCTTTGTGAGATAGAATTCGCTGTCTTATTATAGACTAAAGGATGTGATCATTCTCTCTGTTCTGAGATGGCCAAACACAATAGTACCTAGTTATTTCCTGTTAAATGGATAATTAAAACTGGCCACAAATTTTAGAAAAGAGAGAGCAGAATGGTGAATGGGTTGACAATCATGGATGTGAAAACCAATTAGAGGAACCAGGGATGCTTGTCCCAGAGAACAGTAAACTAGGATGTGCACAACAGCTGGTTTTAAACATCTGAAGAACCATCATATGGCAAAGGGATGTGCTTTGTTCTCTATGGGCCAACAGGCAGAAAAGAAGCGCAATAGATTTGGTTTATTTTGAGAACTAACTTTCTAATGGTCAGAGATGTCCTAAAATAAGTGAACGGATCTGAAGGCAGTGCATTCCCCATCACTGGAGGTTCCCCCATCAGCCTGCCCAGCTGACTTGAAAATGATGCACTAAAGAGATTCGATCATTGAAGAGTTTAAAGGTTCCTTGCAGCACTGACATCCCATGATTCTCAGAGCTTTACTTAGAAATGGCTTGGCTACCATGAAGAACCTATAATTTACATATATATATATATTTTAAAAAACTAAAGTCTACTGTCTACAGGTCTTATGAAGTTATAATGTCAGAAGCATTAATATTCTCAAGTTAGGTAAAATGCATAAATAGCAAGGTTGTCAAAAATTCAAGAAAACGACTCTCCTATTTTCCTATTCTCTTTTTCAATTTCTTCCCTCACACTCTTCTATTTTTTAGCTATGTTTAACTATTTGTAACTATTTTTTTAAGTCTCTCACAACAACTCTATTTAGCCCTCATGCTTGCCAGACATGAAAGCATCCTTCATTTTATAAAATAGACATATTCTTGGAAAAGTCTGTATATCCATTTTTTATGTAAAGAGAATAATTTTAAGCCACAGTTTAAAGGAACTCTGCCATGAATTTTAGCACCATAGTAAAAAACATAGAGAATCTTTTAACCATTAATAATGACCTTCTAAATATCTATTTCATGAATCTGATTTGAGCCTGCTCTGTTTTCTGAGAAATGAGCATAACTTTAATAGGCCAGCTCTCAGCATAGAACTAGGTCAAAAAAGTAAATTAAGCTAGCCAGATGTTGCCATCCGAGGCTGAAAGAAAAACCCAGAAGTAAGCCAAGAAGAATAGAACTTAGACTATGAGAAACCCTAGAATAGAAAGTTAAAGCCATAGTCTATTTTATGCCCTTGAGCCTGTTAGGTTTATTACATGATTGAAACTCTCCTTCTTCATTCAGGTGATGTCTCCAGCTTCGAGTAACAGCAGTGGGTCTCTCTCACCTTCCTCTTCTTCTGATTGCCTGGTGAGCCGTGGAGGACCTGGCCGGAGCCATGTGGCAGCTTTACGGAGTCGTTTTGAATTGGAATATGCTCTAAATACAAGGTCTTATGCTGCCTGGTCCCAAAAGTAAGTGATAATCTCAGCAACTGCCTCACAGTCAAGTCAAATTCCAGAATCTCATCAAGAGAGTCACCCAATTTGATTAGTATCAACGGGATTTACCACCCTTGTGGTAAACACTGAAAGAGGAGTTTTTTAGCCCATTTCTTATAACATTATGACCAAAAATTAGAAATGTTATTATTTACTAGTTTAGGTCCTCTAAGTTTGAAGTAACAACAATTAACTCTAGCTTAAGCAACAATTGTCTAGCTACAGCAACAAAAGGAAATTACTGAAAGTATTCTGGGGTTATCTTATGGAATCCAAGGAGGAATTTCTTTTGTGGGAACCAAGAAAGAGCTTTGCAGAGCTGAGTGCTAAAACTGAGTGCCAAATCTGAGGTCAGCATTCTAGAATTACCAAATGATCCAGCAATTCCACTCCTCGGTAATACCCAAAATAATTGAAAACAGGTACTCAAACAAATACTTTTATTCAAATGTTCATAGCAGCACTATTCACAGTAGCCAAAAGATGGAAGCAACCCAAATATCCATCAATGGATGAATAGATAAATAAAGTGATATCCATAAAGTAGAATATTGTTCAACCATATAAAGCCATCAAATGAAAGAAGCCAGACACAAAGGTGTCACGTATTGTGTGCCTTATTTATATGAATATCCGGAAAAGTGGGTTAGTCACTTCAAGGCTGTCCTAACAAAATACCATACTCTGGATGGTTTAAAAAATAGAAATTTATTTTTTCACCGTGGAGGCTGGCACCATCTTGGTGACAGCATGGTTGGGTTCTGGTGGGACTTGCAGATGGTCAACTTCTCCATGTGCCCTCACGTGGCAGAGAGAGCTCTGGCATCTTCTTCTTTTTTTATAAATTCACCAGTTCTATCAGATCAGGGCTTCAGTCTTCTGACCTTGTTTAACCTTAATTACCTAATTAAAGGCCTGTCTCTAATACAGTTATGTAAGGGTTAGGATCCAACATATGAATTTGGTGGGATGGGGGACACAACTCAGTCTATAGCAATAAGTAAATCCATAAAAGCAAACTAGATTGGTGGTTGCCAGAGACTGAGGGGAAGGGTAAAATTTGGAGTAACTGCTTAATTGTACAGGAGTTTATTTTGGGTTGATTATAACATTTTGGAATGAGAAGTGGTGGTTGCAAAACATTGTGAATATACTAAATGTCACTGAATTGTTTACTTTAAAGTGATTAATTTTATGTTATGTGAACTTCACCTCAATGAGAAAAAATAAACCAAAAAAAAAATAATAAATAAGCAAAGGGGCAAGTCAGAAAAAGAGAAAAAAAAATAGTTCAGTATTCTTCCATAGTGAGCTCTGCCATTTTCATGACCCAGTTCTGAGTAAACAGGCTCTTTGTCTCTCAGTTTAATTGTAAAGTTTCAAGGAGAGAGCTATCAGTCATCTGTTGCCATAATAATCCTATATAAAACCCACACCAAAATTCAGGGATATACAAACATAAGCACTTATTTCTTGCTCATGTGTCTGTGGGCTGGTTTCAGGTGGGCTTGACTGGGAGCTGCAGATTGTATCCAGGTATGCTCCATCTGTCTCTCATCCCCTTTGGACTAGCACACACCTGAGGCATGTTCTTCTCATGGAGAAAGGCTAGGAACTCAAGAAGACAAGCCCAACTTGATACGCACATTTAGATCCTTTGTCCAAGTTGCATCCTATGACATTCCATGGGCAAGTCACTTAGCTGAGTCCAGCATCCATAAGGAGAGAAAATACACTCAGCCTCTAATGGGAGGAACTGCAGAGTCACATGGCCAAAGGCATTGATATAAAAAGCGTAATGAAATAGGAATAAATGTAGTTTGCCACAAACAATAATATGATTGGCTCTTTTGGATCAAATGGCCACCTTTGTTCTAAGCAAGTATGGTTAAAATAGGGTCATATTTCATAAATACAAATGTGGTGGCTGTGGGCCCATGTTCTAAATGGGGAGTAGAAAAGGCAATCACTGTGAGCCCAATCGATACCCCAGAAAGTATGCACTACAACCCATGGGAAATCAGAAAAGCCTGGCTTAAAATCTCCATCCTTCCACATGAACTCCAGAGCATTTGCACATGAGCCATTAGCCATGTTCCATCATCAGAGTAAAAATATTTATCTTGAAAGTGAGGAAAGATTTTCTGGAGTTAGCAAGGATCTGATGACATCTACAAATTGCCACTGTAGCCATTTTAGTGTAGGTATTCCTGGTCTAGTGAGAGTTGCAACAGCAGCTTTGGAGAAATGGGAATCTGAATCATGAAGCCTTTAATTCAGGAATATTATGAAATGAAGTATCAGCAGGTTTGATTGATAACAAGGCAAACTGGACACAATCCTTTATTGGATTCCAATCTCTCCCATAATATTATAAGGGGCTTGTAGGCCAAGATTAGATTAGGTTCGGTCACAATATCATCTTCCAGTCCCATCTTTTCTTCTTATTCTTTGCTTGTGGTTTTTAAAAGTAATTCCCTGAACAGTCAGGTTTTGACATTTCCAAAGCACAGTCACCTGAGGTTTGTCCACTTGAGGCAGGGGTTAAGAGGATGAGCTGCAAAGTCAGACATATCTGAGGTTCAATCTTGGATTTGCCATGTACTGGCCCAATGACAATGACCTTGGGCAAGTTACCAACCAGCTCTTAGGATGGTTATTGGGAGAGGCAGTACTGTCGCAGGAGTCAGTGATTGATTGAAAGATACCAGCAGACTCAAGCAAAGGATACAAGTTCCTGAAATGTAGGTAAGTCTCACAACTTACAATATGTAGACAGCTACACAGCATGGGAGGCACACTGGCACTGCCAATTAGGTGAGGTGGAGCTGACGGGCATGCAGCTACTCTGGTGTTCAAGAACCCAGAGGGGTACACCATTCCTCATAAAACTGCTTGAATGGGGTGGGGAAACCCCATTGGGTTTTTTGAGATGTTCCCTTTGATATTCTCATAAGGTTTTTTGTACATTTCTATCCCTTCACAACTGTTATAGAACTCTGATAAGCATTTTGTCTGTCTCCTTGTTCTCTTAACAAACTAGTACACCCTGAGTATTTGCTGTGAGGGTACATTGAAGGTCAGTTCCTTTGTTGTATCGTCCCTCTAGCGAGCACCGTCTTTGGACTGCTTGAAATCAACTCCAGAAATCGTTGAAGCATTTAGCTAAGCTGTAAGATGCACCAAGATAAGAATCATGTCTCTTATTTATAACTGTACCCATAGTGTCTAGCAGTGTGGTTGGCATAAAGTCAATATGTAATAAATATTTGTTTCATGAAAAATTGGATAAATTGGCTCCATAAATCATAATTATTATTAACTTGGAGCATAATCAGTGAATCAGCTTTAACTACTTATTCTATTTTTCCACCTAAGTCGCTATCACTACTGAGCATATACTGCATGCTGGGCACTATTTTAAACACTTCGAAGAGTCATCTAAGTAACCTAAGGAAGTAGTTATTCCAACTTTTTTAGACGAGGAAACTGTGGCTCAGGAAGGGTAAGCAGTTTTCCTAAGTTTCTGGAAGCAGAGTTGGAATTCTCATGCCGGTCTCTCCTATGCTTTCTGAATTTCTCTGGCACAGGAGGTGGCACTTTTCAGAAACTTGATACGTTTTGCCAAGTGTATCTGCTAGACTTCTTCCAATTTCTCATGGAAGTTGGTCAGGGAAAGAATTCAGCTACTCCTCCCAAGCCTGCTTTTGCAGCTTGTGTGTATGAAAGACAGAGCAAGTGAGACCAGAGATCAATAGGTTCTTCAAGTCAAAGAGCCCGAGGATGTGGGAGCTAATGGACTGACTCCAGCAGGGACACAAGTTTAACAGCCTGAAAGACAGTGGCTCTCAACTTTGGCTGCACACTAGAGCCCCCTGGGGAGCTTTTATAAGCACCAGTGCTCAGGACCAATTAAACCAAAATTCATGGGGGTGGCACCCAGACATCAAACTCTTTTAAATTTCCCAGGTGATTCCAATATACATCAAAGTTTGAGACACACACTAGAATAGAATGCTAGAATGCTAATTTGGCAGTCACTCTGTGGGGAGGGGATGCAACTGATGGGATAAACAGAAAAAGAAAGTGAGAGAAAAGGTGAAACAACAGCTGTGACTGAAGGGGACCATTTTTTGAAGGCTGATTACCTGTGTGGTCTGCCCTAAAAGTCCTTACAATGTTCTAGTAACCTTTAATCTGAGAGGCATTCTAGCTAACTCATTAAAATCACACAAGGTGCCTACTTTAGCCTGGCATCATGCTTTAAAAAAATGGGTACAAGCTTTGACCCATAGTCTCAATTCTAGGCCTCAACAGTGCCCCCAACAAATGTCTTTAAAGCAGTGCATTTATTTTTCAACTTTGGTTATGAAGTTTCAGCCTATAGTTTTCTAATGCTTTATCTGATGGGGGCTTGGGTTGTTTGTTTGCATATTTATTTTTAATGTTTATTATTTTCTTTCATCAAATAAATGTCAGGGTGCAAAATTGTATCAGATAGTTTCTCCACAGGTAATAGGGATTCACTAATTCCTACTGAAACTACAAATTGATGAAATCTGAGATTGAGGAAGGCATGCCTGAAGTCCTGCCTCTTCTAAAATATTTTGTGTCTCTAGATATATTTAGCAAACTAAGCATGTGGCATTTGCTCCTCCCACAAGGCATGAAATCTTCCATCTTGTACATGGATTACATCCTATAAATTTGGAAATGACAAAGTGATACACCACCTTTCAGATGAGGGAACCAATTAGTGTTTGTGTGGGGCTGGGCTCTGAGAATAGAATGCTATGACCTAGTTAGGAGTCCGGGAGAAGAAAACCAGAGACCCAGAGATGGGAACTGTAAAACAGATACATTTGGAATTAATTTCTCACATTACAAAAGAACCCATCAAAGTGTTGCCTAAAATAGAAACCTTGTCTCCATATACTTAAAATGAAATTCAACTTACAAAGTTGAATGTGAGT